GGGGGGGGGGGGGGGTTCCCCCTGGGCAGCCCGGGGCCGCAGTGACGGTTTTTTCGTCGCAGGCTGTCCACCCATGCACTCTCTTGAGCGTGCGTCCGCCCTCCGCCTCTCCCCGGCCCCTTGTCATCCTCACTGCCCCTCCTCCCACTGCCCCTCCTCCGGCTGTCACACACAATCGCGCGCCGTCCGCGCAGCGCGGCGGAGAAGGCGGGCCGCACTGACCTGGCGCTGCAGCTGTTTGAGCGCATGCACCAGGAGGGCTGCCGCCCCAACGTGGTCACCTACAACTCCCTCATCGCGGCCTGCTCCCACGGTGGGCCCGCGGGAGCCCCCCATCACACGAGCCACGTTGTCTATCACGAGCTCTATGCAATGCGGCTGCCCTCGCGCCCGGGTGTACCCTCCGCAGCCCTGGCGGAAGCTGGCCCGCAGCTGCAGTGCTCTTGACCAGCGCCTACGCGCTTTGGAGCGACCTCATCCCCTCCCTGAACAGCAAACCCATGTGCCTGTCGCTCAAACGACTGATTTTGTGATCCAAGGCTTTAAGGCTTTCCGCTGTTTGTTTTGCCAATTCGACCACCCGACTGCGCGCACCGCCATCAGGGGCGCACTGGGAGGACGCGGAGCGCTGCTTTCAGCAGATGGCGGCGCAGGGCTGCACCCCGGACGGCATCACCTACTCCGCCCTCATCACCGCCTTCGAGCGCGGCGGCCAGTGGCGGCGCGCGCTGGGGGCGTACGCCCAGATGACTGCCCAGGTACGGCTTTTCCCAACACCAACCCACCCACTTAGCGCCAGCCGCGCCGTCGGACCCCTGCCTGCCCCGGCGTGCCAGGCGTCTTTGCTGACGGAAGCTTTTGCCTCTGTTTGAACCGAGTGCGCCAAGCGGCCGTCGCTGTGCGCCGCTTGCGCGCCCCGTGCCGGCAGCCGACCCCTCGCGGCCGTCCCCGCTCCAGACCCGCCGTCCGTGCCTGCACCAACCGCCACGCCTGTCCCCTCCCCCGAAATCCACCTCGAGCCGCATCACGCCCGTCGTCCACTCAGCCGCCTCCCCACATCTCATCCAAACCCGCCCCAGGGCTGCCACCCGGACAGCGCCGTCTACAACGCGCTGCTGGGGGCCTGCTGGTCCAGCGGCGTGGCCATGGCCCAGATGAGGGCCTCCCTCATTTGGTCGGCGGCCAACCGCTCGGGCCACTTCCGCGTATACCACCAGGTGGGGCGGGGGTGCGCCGTGGGTTTGTTGTGTGCTTCGTGCCAGTGTTATCTGGGTGTGTCACTTGGGTGCGCGACTCTCGGCGTGTGGGTGTGTGCCGCACCCGTCTGGCATGCATTTGTGGCGGCCCCCACATGAACAGGGTGGCCGCTGTGCTGACCCTCCCGCCCTCGCCCACGCCCCGGTGCGACGGCGGTGGCCTGGCACACACGTTGTTGCGTCCCGCCCGGCGCCTTCTCGTGCACGGAGCCTTGACATGCAAACTCGTCCCCCTGCCCTGACTCCACTTCCTCCAACCCCCAACCCTCCACACCAACCCACCCTTTCCCCCAAGGCCAAGTCTGACCCGGCAGTGTTCCAGCACAGCTGCGTTGCCTTCACCGCCGGCGCGGCCATCATCACCCTGCTGCGCTGGCTCGTGGACATTAGGTGCGGCGGGGCCCGGGGCTCAGGGCCTTTGATCAGCAGACCCATTGGGCAGCCATGTCAGGGTCTGAGGCAGGGCTGAACCCTGGAGGGTGGACCGTTGATCTGGGGTGGCGCGCGGGCCACTGGGACTGATTAGGGGCGGCGTACGACGCCCCACGCCTTGCCTGACGACCAGCCCAGCTGGTGACCACGCACGGTTTCTACCTTGCCGGCGGGCCCAAGCTCTGCCCGCCCTTTTCGCCCGTCGTGATGGACGACGCCGGCCAGCATGGGCCCTGACAAACGCCGCGCACCCACCCGTGCCGCCCCCCGCCCTCTGCAGGCATCGCATGATGCGGGACGGCCAGGGCCTGCTGCGGGACCGCGTCGTCTTCAACTTCCAAAAGGGCAAGGCCTGCCGCGTGGAGCAGCCCTCCGCGCTCATCCGCGACGCGCTCGCCGCCGCGCTAGCCGGCGCCGCGTCGCCGTTTGAGGTCGCGCTTGTCGACGGCGCCACGACGCGCGTCGAGGCCGAGAGCGGCGCGCTGGCGGCGTGGCTGCGGTCGCCGGCGTTTGCGCCGCTCGCGTTTGTGGCGCACGCGGCGGCGGCCAAGAGGATGACCCTGGAAACCCTGATATTGGAAGACCAGGTGGGGAAGACCTTGTTGGGGGGGTGTTTTGAGGGGGTGCAAGTGCATGGGGCGCACATACACACGTTTGACCTGCTCGCATGATTCGGTGCCCCTCCTGCCGTCAGCGGTACTACACCGCTGCGGCGCTCGGCCGGCTTGGGAGGTGTCTCGATCAGGGGGAAGGGCACGGCGTTTGCGGCGGTGGGTGCGTCAATGGGTTTCTCGCACCTCCCCCGCCTGCCATCTGGCCCAGCCCTTCCGCTTTCCTCCATGCTCTGACCCCCGCGCACACACTCACTCACTCACTCTATCATGATTGCGATCACAAACACGAATACGAACTCGCGCCCCAGACATTGGAGGCGCGCTGCAACGAGGCTCTGGCGCTGGTCCGCAGCTACGAGCACCTGCGCTGCTACAGCAGCGCACCCAAGAAGGTGAGTGTGGGGGAGGGGTGGGAGGGTCGGCGCCGCTCGCTGCCGACCATAGTTGTGCCTCGCGCGACGCCTCCACTGTCTCTTCAGCATGCCCGCTGTGGATTGGCAGCCCGGCGGGGCCCCCAGTCGGAACGCTGCGCAGCCCATGTGCTCGCCGGCCCCCTTTGCACAGCAAGCAAATTGAAACAAACGGCCATTGTGCGTCCCCCCCCCTC